GGTTCTGATACCGGCACCGCGATCCACGCCGCTGTCGGCACCGGCATTGCTCTTGACATCAGCACGGGCATCGGCACCGGCTTGGGCACCGACACCGGTACTTCAACGGATCAACGGTTGCGTCGCCCGTCTGTGTTGGGATCAACGGCGACATCAGCGCCCTGGTCAGCACCGCCATCGGTACCGCCGTCCCCATCCGTACCCACACCGACATCGACACGACCGCGCAGCCCAGGTGAGCAGCTGACGGCCGGTGGTGGCAGGAGGCCCTGAGCCCACCCGGTGTTGGTCCGTAGCAGCGCAGTAAGGATAGAGGTGGGGCGCCGAGGGCACGGCGGTGCTCTGGGGATGAAAGTTTGCAGCGGGGGGTGGTGCTGAGAGGGCTCCGGGGTGCGTCCCGATGGTTTGAAAGTGTCTCGCAGGGGTCTGGTGGTGTCTGTCACTCTGTCTGGAGGCTGCTGGCTCCAGGGCAGCTCAGGGTGAGCAGTGATCACACAACGAGCAGTGATCACACAACGAGCAGTGCTCAGGGAAGCACCTCTGTCCCATCCCAGCTTCTGCTCCTTGGTAGATCCTGGGATGACCACCATCCCCATCATCCTGATCCATCTTCACGTCCTCTTCCTCCAGTCCCGTGGGTCCCCACAGCCTCGAAGTCATGCCCGTTGACTCCCATCTGGGCCAGGGGAATGGACTATTTTGGGACTACGTTGTTTTGTGGAATGGGGAGCTGGGGGGGCTGCAGGCAGCCCTGGGAGAGCGGGCACAGGTGTGAGAATGGCTCCGTGCAGGACACATGCTCATCTCCCGGGCATCAAGGAAACCTCTTGGGACCAGAGGGTTTCCCCAGGGACAACACCTCCTCACTGCCTTCAGGGCAGCACTTTGGCAGGTTGCCCCCGCCAATGCTTGGATCAGATCCTTCTGGCCCCCAGAGCTGGCTGCCGTCCCTTGGCTGGATGGCAGTGCCACCGAGGGTGTGGCAGGGGCAGGGTGGCTGTGTCAGCTGTCCCTCCCCCTACTGCTTCCCCCAGTACCCACAGCCTGTGACCTTGGGGCTGCTCACTGCGCGACATCGCATCCCTTGCTGTCATGAAGGGGGGTAGGAGGAGGCTGGGATGTGGGGATGCGCAGAGGACTGGTGACAGCACGTCCCCTGCTCCAGGAGTCCAATGTCCTGCTGTCTGTGGCTGCAGGATAGGGTGCTTAGGGCTGTGGGGTGCCTGACCTTGGTGCTGCCCCACGCACCCCAAAGGACGTCCCGTGGTGCCACCAGGACAAGGACAGGTCCAAGACCCGCTCTGTCCTTGGCTCCAACAGATGGCTCGTGCTCAGCCAAGGCATGGCTGCTGCATCCCCATGGACTGCACAATTCTGGGGATTCCAAACCATGCTTTGATCCCAGATCTCCTCTCTCCTCAGATTGCAATCCCATTCCTGCCAGCTGCAGTGGGGAATCCCAGAGATGCTCCCAGTTCTACACAACACCTCTCTCCAAATTCCCATCCTTGGGAAGCCACTTCAGTCCTTTGCCCTGGAAGTGGGATGCGTGGGACACAGAGGTGGTTTCCATCTCCTTTAATGGGGCAGTTGCATGGGGATGGAGAATCTGCTGGCTGCCAGCATCAGTGGATTTGGCTGTGGGATCAGGGTTAGGGTTGGGGTTAAAGTTAGGATTAAAGCTAGGGTTGTGGTTAGAGTTGGGGGTTAAGGTTAGAGTTGGGGGTTAGGGTAAGAGTGGGGTTGGGTTGGGGCCGTGGTTGGGGCTAGGGTTAGAGTTAGATTTAGGGTGAAGGTTAGGACTGGTGTTAGGGTAAGGATTGGGGTTGGTTTGGAGTTGGGGTTAAGGTTGTGGTTAGGGTTAGAGTTGTGTTTAGAGTTAGGGTTAGTGTAAGGATTGGGGTTAGGGTTAGGGTTAGTGTTAGGGGCTCCCTGGGAAGCTGCTGTCCCCAGCATCTTTGTATTCACCACTCCTTGGGGCAGAAGGAAGGGGTCCCTGTGGGGCCAGGAGCTCTTTGTATTGCTGTGGGATGGAGGCAGGAGGTTTCCTCACGGATGTGGTGCAACATCCATGTAGGAACCCATAAGCATTTCCACAGATCAGGTCCATCAGCTCCAGCATGAGGGGCTGCTGGAGAGCTGTGTGTGGAGGGAGCCTGGAACTGCTAGAGAATGAAACCGATTTAGGTGTGGGTGACACAATTATTATGTAAAATTATAGTTTGTGCTGTCGTCAGAGCAGCTAACTGAAGGTTACAGTGGGAGCTGTGTTACCGAGGGCTCAATCATTGTAATTACCTCCCATTAGATCACCTTCTTTACAACTGCAACATGGAAGGAGGGGGAAGTTACAGGAAGAAATTCCTGTCCTCGCACTCCATCCTCCTCTGGACACATCCTGTGGACAGCAATTAGAGGTCATTAGCTGGTGGGGTATAGGAAGGGCTGATCTTTCCTACCTCAGCGTGGTCCAGCCCAGCCCTGTAGGGATTTTCTGCCATCGGTGCCTTTTGGGATGCTCTGCTGCCCCATAATGCAGAGCACAGACATGGGCACATCGGGGTCTGCAGGTTGGGGGACACCTCTGCCTCATGCATGCATCAGGTTCACGTTGGCAGCAGTTGGGTTTGCCCTTCAGATGCTCAGGGAAGCTCTGAGTTTGGATGTCAGTGGGTGCATGAGCCAGTCGCGCTGTTACCCTCGAGCAGGACTTGCTCTGATTTGTGTTTTCAGCATTATAAGCAAAAGTGACAGTTTGTGCAAACAGCCTGGAATCCTGTCTGGAGAGACTCAGGTTGGATTTTTCCTGGTTTAATGAGGGCAATAACTACAGGCGAGCTTCGCTGTCAACCCTGAGCAGCAATCCTAGCATGGAGCAGCAACACTGCTTGCTCCTCCACAAGGCCACATGCCATGGCTTCAGTAGAGATCACCTGTGCCCGTCCCTGGGCTGGATGTGATGACAAGGGCTTATAGGGGGACAAGAATTACTGTGTAAGGCCATTGGGCTAACAAGCAAACCCAGTGCTTGGTGACAATGGGAACACACATTTGCATTGAGGCGACAGAGCTGTGGGCTGGAGGCTGAGGGCACTGGGCTGTGCCTGACCTTTTGGGGCTGGGCATCGATTTGAGGGGATCCCACAGTAAATCCCACGGCCATAACTCTGTGCTTTGGAGCAGCATGAGATCCCCACCCAAAATCACTGGGGCCAGCCTGCTCTCTGTGTGGGAGATCTCCAGATCAGTGTTTAATTATGACCATCTGCTGCTCCAGGCTTCAAATGCATCTCAGTGGATTTGGTCTCTATTTAAATCAGCCCCATTGGGTCTTCCTGGATGCTGGTTTTCTCGCCCAAGGCTCTCATTCTTATCTAATGTGGGGCAGTTCTTTGTTCCCCAGCTCACAGCACTCATTTGTATTCAGCGTTACACTTCACGAGCACTTCCCCTTTTTAATTGTGCTCATCATCTCCTAATAGTCTCAATGCTGTTGGGTTGTGGGTGGGTTTTTGGAGACTGCAGCATTTCCAGCCTTTATTGGAGGACACAGCATCGATCCTTTTCCATTAGAGTGTGAGGAAACACCATCAGAAGGGTGAAGCCCAATCAACCCAACACAACCCAACCTAACCCAACACAGCACAACTCAACCCAACACAACCAAACCCAGAGCCCTCAACAGCCCAAGCCCACCTTCCATTAGCCACTTGGAGGTTAAAAAGGGAAATTCTTACTCCTGTGATTGAACAAATCCCTCTTAAGGGCCAAGGCTGCCGTGTCTCCTCCAGCTCAACCCCAAAATGGGGTTTCAGGAGATATTTACTTAAGTTGGGAACTTAAGTAGCACGAATGGGAACTGCTGCCTTCATTATGCTCTTCTCTTTCAAAATCCAGGCAAGAGAAAACCTGCATGAGAGCCATGTCCCCATGCTGTGCCTTCCCTCCACCCCATCCAAGCATCTCCAATTGCAGCCCATCTCTTACAGGGATTAAGACCTATTTCTGCACCACTCTCCTCTATCCCATTAAGGGCATTACAGCAGCCCCAGGTCCTTCCATGTGACTCCTTCTGAAAGAGAGGCCATGCTAAGCCTCACGGAAATGGCCCTGCTTGGAGGGGAAATCCCCAGCACAGGGTGGAGATCGGGGTTTATGCAACATTATTTGCCCAACACCTCTGTTAATTCGCTGCCTGCAGGGCAGTAAGTTGGGTACGGGGCGGGCAGCTGCACCTTGGACCTTGTTCCTGCAACAGACGTAGCCCAGAGATGGGAAGGACCCAGCCTGGTCCTAAGGGATGTTGCTGCACGTTTCTACAGCAGCACTGAAGCCGCTGGGGCTGCCGGGAAGGCAGCTTTGATCCAGCCCTGCAGGCTGCTGTCTGACTGTGTTGTGCCCAGCTGTGCAGACACAGAGGGAAAGAGGCTGTGTGTGTGTGTGTGTGTGCACTCATCTGTGTGTGCATGCATGCATGTCTGCACACATACAATTGCATCTCTGTGTGCATGTGATCACACACGCATGTATGTTTGCATGTGTGTGTGTGCATGCAGCAGTTGGTGCGTGCTTTGTGCGCTCCTGTGCTCCCACATCACGCTGGCCGAGGCATGAGCAGCCAGGCCCTGCTCCCGTATGGTTGCCAGGGTGACAGAGTGCTGCTCCTGCACTGCCAGGATGCTCCAGCACCAGCGTCAGGGACGCTGCAGCCGTGTGCTGGGGCCGGAGCAGGGCGCTGTTGGGCTGACTGCTCCCACCAGGCGGGCGGAGCAGCGATGCGATGTAAAAGAGGTGCAGTCAGATGTGTGCTGTGGGGTAAGAGATGCTGAAAGCTGCAGGTGACACGCGCACATGCGTGCCTGAGTGCACCTGGTGCCTGAGTGCACCATGCATGCAAATGCATGTTCCATGAGGCACCGTGCGTGCTCACAGTGTGCCAGAAGAATTGCTGTGCATGCAAACGTGTGTGCCGAAGTGCACCATTTCTGCACACACGTGTGCCAGAGGACACCACCATGCACTCCGTGGGACTCAGAGCCAGCTCGGGGGTTCCTCATCCCGCCCCAAGGCAGCGCAGGGCCGAATCCTGCCCCGTGACTCACAGCCTGGTTAATCATTTACCTCCTCCACCTGCAGCCTCAGCCAGTGTCACTCCTGCTGCTCCTGTGGCTGAGGGGACCGTGGCTCACTGTCTGCCCACAGCTGGATCTGAGGAGGACTCCGGTGAGTTTTGCTGGGGCAGAAGGGCTGGGGACACGGGCAGGGCTCCTGGGCATCACTCAGCGCCACGTCAGTAGGTAGGAAGGGAAGTCCTGAATGCAACCCACAGAGCAACAGCGAAGGGGAATGCAGGCCAATGTACAGGCTGCATGGGGGTGAACCATGCCTGGAAGGTCACAGACTGCCCTCAGTACTGTCTGCGCCATCCCTGTACCTACCACAAAGCTTCCAGCTTGCAGGAACCCTGGTGCAAAAGTCCAGGATATCCATCAGTGCTGAGAGGGACCTGGCAGCAATGGGCCCAGGGCTGGTTGAGATGACATGCCACTGCCTGCCACCTCCATGGAGTCCAGAAACCTGCCTGCAGCACAAGTCCCTCTCCAAGGAACATTTTGGGGTTCATTTTATGTGTGGCCAGGCTGAGAACGCCCCATCTTTGTCTGCTGGCAAAGCAGCCAACCCTGCTCTTTCCTCTTGTCCTCCCTTACTGTCCCACCTCCATGTTCACATTTTGGTTCTTCATCCCTCCAACACTTCATCCCTCTTTCCATCTCGATCTTGGTTCTCCATCTCTTCTTCCATCCCTCCACCCCATCTTTGTTCTCCGTTCCTCCATCTCTTCATTTCTCCTTCCATCCTCATCTTGTTCTCCATCTCTCCGTCCCCTTTCTCTTTCCATCCCTCCATTCATCACTCCTTACATCCATCTGCCTGTCCCTCCATCCTTCCATTCATTCCTCCATCCATCCTTGCCTCACCCCCATCCCATTCTCCTGCCTGCACCAAGCACAAGACCCCCCCTTGCCCTTCACAACTTTGCTTTAGTCACTCATAGACGCGCTGCAGGAGGATGCTGGGTGTTGCACCCCACATCTCTCCAACCCTGCTGGAGATCTCTCCACCCCCCTTTGCACCCCACTGGCACTGCAGCCATGGGCTCAGCTCACCTTCTGCTCTTCCTTCCCCAGGCCAGAGTTGTGGGGCTCCCAGCCCACAGCCCCCCGTGAGCAGCACCCAGGGCAGTAGTGAGACACAGGGCCCTCAGGCCAGGCTGGAGGGCGCCCGGTAAGGATGCTGGAGGGTTTGGTGGTGGGGCAGAGGGTCCCACAGCATCTTTTTTTCCCATGATACTGCAAACGAGAGGAGGGGTTCCTAATGCTGAACTTCGTGCTGGGGATGGGGGAGACCCATGGGGATGGTAGAACCCCTGGGCAAGGTTTGCACTGTGGTTAGATCTCCATCAACTCCACTAACGGGGGGGACCATATCTCATCAGGGTTAGCATGACCGAGGTGGAGCCGGTGCTGGATTTCGCATCCTCAGGGAGGACTGGACGCCGCAATGCCCTACCTGACATCCTGGGCTCACCGGCAGGCGTCAGCCCCTCTGACCTGCCCCTCAAACTGGCCGAGATGTCCCTGAGTGCAGGTGGGTGCTGGGTGACGCATGGGGGTGGCACATGGGAGTGGTATCATGGCTGCTCACTGCCCTCCTCGCACCACAGGCAGCTCCCAGGAGATGCAGTCACCTTCTGCAGAAGTTCCCCCACCGCAGCCCCAAAGCCCGGAGCTGAAGGACACGTCCTAACCCTGCTGGGGGACTGAGCAGTGGGGTGAGGACGCTGCGGAGCATCCGCATCGCTGCCCTTGTGCCATGCAGCGAGAGCATCGCCTGCAGGAGAGGAGCCACGTGGGGACCTGTGGGGACAAAGGGACACTTCACTCCCACGCAGGGCAAGGATGGGGACGTTCATCCCACAGGAGGACACTTTTCTTCCAGAAGCGAGCGGCCAGGGGGGGCCTATGCCATGAGCAGCCCAGGGGGTCTGAGTGTTGTTCACTGTGATGTTTTGGGTACCACGTCTGTGTCCTGTCCTTCCTTTTTCCAGAGGGTGATCCAAGATCTCTTTTTTTTTTTCTTTCTTTTTTCTGAGGAAGCATCATCGATGGGCTGGGGAGGAGAGCCTCCCAGCAGCAGCCAGCACCTCAACAAGTGTTGCTCCAGAGTGCTCCTTGCATCGGGGGAGCAGGGAGCTCAGCTGGGATCATATTGCAAAGCCATCCTTGGGGACAGTGACATCTCTGCCACTCACAGCTCTGCTGCCTACTGAGCTGGGACTTACTGCTGGGGACAAAACACGTGGCCCAGCTCCAGAGCATGGCAGGGGTGAGCAGGTGGGGGGCCAGAGAAGGGCACAGTGCTCATATCTGTTCCAATCCCCAGGTGGTAACCTGGTGGTCACCCATAGCTCTTGCTGTGTGTGGACCAGTGAATGGAGTCCTAAGGGCCACCCAGCTCTGAGCAGTGCTGGGGGAGGGGAGAGCTGCATGGGGTGGGTGGCACTGAGAGCCACAGCGTGTGTCAGTGGGCATGGGCACATGTGGGAGTGAGTGCTGCTGGGGGTGGGCGCTGTGTGCAGGGGTGTCCGTGCACACGGGTGTCCGTGTGCGTAAAAGGCAGTGAGCAATGACCTGTGTGCACAGGCGTCCGTGTGCTTGTGTGCCTCTGCACGTCAGTGTCTGTGTTTGTGGGGGTCTTTTTGTGTGGGTGCTGCTGTGGGTGGGTGTTTGTGTCCATGTGTGTGGATGCCTGTGCACATGGGTGCCTGTGTGCATGGATGCTGGTGTGCAATAATGCCCGTGTGCTCACGTGTGTGATGCCCACGTGCACGGGCTGTCCTGTGCATGGCTGTCCCTGTGCACATTTGTTTGTGTGTGTGTCCATGTGCGTGCACATCCATGTCCTGTAGCCCTGCTGCACCAGGGGGATGCTGGGAGCCCCAGGGCCATGCACATTTGGGACTCTGATGCCCAAGGGTGGCTCTGGGAGGAGCAGAGACAGGTGACCCCTCCAGGCCTGTCCCCAACCTGTGGCACCTGGAGGGTGTATTCAAGGAGCACTGTGCACTCTGGGGGGGAGCTGTGTGACTCCCAGGGCCATGGTTGGATAATAAACTGTGTGTTTCCCTGTGACACAGTGCTCCGTGCTCTGTCCCCAGGGGGACTGGTGGCTGTCCCACTCAAGGGGCTCTCACTCGCAGCCCCTCCAAGGCCATGGGGAGGAGGCTGAACTTGAGCCCCTGGCTATTTTTGGGTGCCTGCAGTGACACCTTAGGGATGGAAAGAGAGACAAAGTGTCCCTGAGTGCCACCCAGGCATGGTCGTTTTGCCCCTGATGCCACCGCCCTGCAGTGCTGGGTATGGGAACACTCAATGGTTGCCACCCAATCCCCAAACCCAATGGACTGAAATTGGGCAGAAGATGCTAGACCCCCACAGGCTCACCCCTTCCCATTAACATGTCCCCAAAGGTGACAGCCACCTCCTGTGTGTCCTCCCGAGTTGGGGACACTTTAGCCAAGGGGACCCCCAGAGCTGTCAGCACAACTGAAGGGGCCAAGGGGGGGCGGGTAATGGGAGGAGGCTCATCACTGAGCCAGGGCTGTGTGCCCACTCGGGCAGGGGACACCAAATTCCACTACCACCTCAATCCCCTGGCATGCTGCAACCCGAGCCTGAAGGAGGAGGGGATCGTGTCCCGGATGTCACCAGCCCCGTGGGGACACACCCGTGGGGGAGAGGGGTGGGCAGCATCCACGGGACATGGGGGGCTTCAAGCCTGAACCCAGCAGAGCCAAGACCCCAGGGCAGCTGTTGGGATGGGGCCGATTGGAGAGGGTCCAAAAGGCGTTAAACTGAAATCACCAACGATGGGAGGGATGGGGACGCGGCCATCCTCACCCTCACCGTCCCCGGCACGCACACACGGTCCCGCGTGTCCCCACGGATGCTCCCGTGCCTCAGTTTCCCCCTCTCCATCCACACCTCACCATGAAGCACGCGGCCGTCGGCACCGCACATCCTCACCTCCACGCACCCACGCGCGTCCGCGACCTCCGCGGGGCCGCGCACAGCTCACGGGCAGGGGACGGGGGGCGGAGGGGGCGGCCGGGGGGCGGTGGTTGGCAGCGCTGCCCGTCCCCGTCGGGGTATTTCTGGAGCCTCTTCCCATCATGTGATGGGGCCGGTATTTAAGGAGCCGCGGGGCCGGGCGGCAGCTGCGGGCGGTGCGGCGCTGCGGGGACAGACGGACACGGGGACACGCGCGGCTTCGCCATGGTGGAAGCGTTCGTGGGCACCTGGAAGCTGGTGGACACGGCCAATTTCGATGAGTACATGAAGGCGTTGGGTGAGTGGGGGGTCGGCAAGGCGGAAATCGCCGTTTTTGCAGCTTTTTTTTTTTTTTAACGGGGGAGGGGGGGGGAATCGTCGGCTGCTGCGTGGGTTTAAAAGGGAAAAATAAAAATAGAAATAATAAAATATAGAAATAAAAATAGGAAAGAGCAGCGCGGTGCTGTGCTGGGGAGGGGCTGCTGCCGGGGTGGAGGGGAACGGGTGGAATCCCCTCCCTGAACCCCCCTGCAAACCCGGTGTGGGGGATGGGCTGATGAAGGGGATCCCAGGGGCTTCGTGCCCCCATCCGCTGTCCTGAATCCTCCATCCCTGGGCAGGATGAGCCCCAGAGGGGTCTGGAGGGGTGGTGACCACAGGTGCTTCCCATTCCGCCCAGCCATAAATGTGCAGGATCAGACCCTGAATGATGCCCAGATCTCCCCCATAGTACGGCCCTGTGGGGATGCAGTGGGTCCCCCCCATCGAAACCCCCCCCCCAAAAAAAAAAAAACAGGAGGGGCTCTGGGGTGATGCATGAGGACACCGCATTGACCCCCTGTCCCCCAACCAGGGGTGGGCTTTGCCACCAGGCAGATGGCCAGCCTGACCAAACCCACCACCATCATCGAGGTGGATGGCGACAAGGTGACGGTGAAGACCCAGAGCACCTTCAAAAACACAGAGATCAGCTTCAAGCTGGGCGAGGAGTTCGATGAGACCACGGCCGATGACAGGCACGTCAAGGTGAGGGAGCCGGGGGGCTGCTTCCTTCCCTCCGCCCTTTGCACCCCTTGCCTCCACTTGCAGCTGGGTTTTGCGGAAGGCGATGCTGTAACAGAGAGGCTGTGTTGCAAAAGAGATTTGGGGGCCACCACGGAGCTTGTAAGACACAAAACTCCTTCCTGCCCCGTGGGGAAGCAGGCACAGGGCTGGGTGTGGAGTGAGGTTGGGCTGAAATGGGGTGAGTGCGAGCAAGGCGGTAGTGCCAGGCAGACATTGCAGCATACCTCTGTCTTCATCCTCTGCTCCATCTGCTCAGCCTATCTTGGTGCCATCCATCTTGCTGGGGAACCAGAGCAGCAGTAGAGCACAGGTTTGACCCCTAGGAGGTATTTCCATGCACAGCTTTGACTATAACCAGCCTGCCTGCTTTGTCTCGTGACAGCTCTGCCCCAAGCTTAGGGCTGCTCTGCTCAGGGTGGTGGAAACTATGCTAAAAGCTCTTTGGCTGCTGGTGTGTGGCAGGGACGTGTGAAGCAGCCAGGGACGTGCCCTTCAGACACCTCTCGGCTGGCTGCCAGAGGGCAGACAATGAAATGGGGCCCCATCTGACAGCCCCCAGGCAGCCAAGCAGGAAGCTGTGGAGCAGCTGGGCTGTGGGGTGCTCCAAGGGGAGGAGTCACCAAACTGGGGGGGAACCAGAATGTCTGGGGTGCAGGGAGAGGAGAACTTGAGTTCTGAAGGGAGCTGAGCTGCAGAGCACCCAAGCGATGGGGACACCCAGTGCATTAGGACATCTGTGCTATGGGGACATCAAGAACTTAGGGAGCTTTGAAGTCATGGAGCTTCCTAAGTGATGGGGACACCAAGCCATGTGGAGACCTGAGCTGAGAGGACATCCAAGTCATGGGGACACCTAAACCATGAGGAAACTCAAGCTGTGGGGACACACTAATGGGGAGAGCTGAGCTTTGGGGGCATCCAGCCATGAGGAGATCAAAAGCAATGCAGAGTCCCTACCCATGAAGGAAACTAAGTGGGTTGCAGGGAAACACATCATGGTGAGACCCGAGCCATGGCAACACCCAACCGTGGGGCGACTAAGCAATGGGGAGACCTGAGGACATGCAGGTAATGGGGAGCGCTAAGCTATGGGGACATCCAACCATTGGGAGATTCAAACTATGAGAAGACCCAAACGATGGAGAATCTTAAGCCATGCAGAGCCCTGATCCATGGAGGCCTTGTGCTGGATGGACTCAAGCCATGTCAACCAAGCCACTGGGTCAGCGAGATGCAGCAGCACCTGCACTGTGCTGGGGACTTGAGCCATGGGAAACCCAGCCCTTGGGTGCCTGTGCAGCAGAGTCACAGGGAGGTTTGCAGAGGACAAGAGGCTGGGACAGCTCGGGGCATGTGGTGCCCTGGGCTGGAGTTGAGAAATGTCACTGGAGGCAGAGGACTGGGTGCCAGGCAGTGGGGGGATAGCAGAATAGAGCTGAGCAGACAGTGCCACTTCCCATGCTGGCACAGCCAAGCCCTCTGTCACGTTAACCTTGGCACTGGCCGGGCTCTCAGGGCTGAATCAACAGCAGCGGCTGTGCAAACAGGAGCCCGAATGAGCAAGGGCTTGTTCAACAGCTCAGCTCAGCACGCAGCTGTGGGGCAGGGAAAGCAGGGTCACCATGACAGTGGCTCCTGGTGCCAACAGGGGCTACGATTGTGACCCAGCTGGTGTCCTGGGCCAAGCTGGATGAGTAGAGCCAGGTGGGATGCTGGCACCCAGGGATCCTCGAGGCGCCCTTTGCTGGTGGATGGGATGAAAAGGAGCATCCAAAGCTGCGAGGATGGAGCAGCAAAGCTCCAACTGTGAGGGTTCTGCTCTCTCTCCACAGTCCTTGGTCAAGCTAGATGGAGGCAAGCTGGTCCACGTGCAGAAGTGGGATGGGAAGGAGACATCACTAGTG